CCCTGTATAGCCACCCTTGTGTAGCAAGCATAACGTGCCCGCCTCCCTAGTATAGAGCGCCCTGTATAGCCACCCTTGTGTAGCAAGCATAACGTGCCCACTTCCCTGGTATAGAGCGCCCTGTATAGCCACCCTTGTGTAGCAAGCATAACGAGCCCACCTCCCTAGTATAGAGCGCCTTGTATAGCCACCCTTGAGTAACAAGCATAACGTGCCCACCTCCCTAGTATAGAGCGCCCTGTATAGCCACCCTTGTGTAGCAAGCATAACGTGCCCGCCTCCCTAGTATAGAGCGCCCTGTATAGCCACCCTTGTGTAGCAAGCATAACGTGCCCACTTCCCTGGTATAAAGCGCCCTGTATAGCCACCCTTGTGTAGCAAGCATAACGTGCCCACCTCCCTAGTATAGAGCGCCCTGTATAGCCAACCTTGTGAAGCAAGCATAACGTGCCCACTTCCCTGGTATAGAGCGCCCTGTATAGCCACCCTTGTGTAGCAAGCATAACGTGCCCACCTCCCTAGTATAGAGCGCCCTGTATAGCCAACCTTGTGAAGCAAGCATTACGTGCCCACTTCCCTGGTATAGAGCGCCCTGTATAGCCACCCTTGTGTAGCAAGCATAACGAGCCCACCTCCCTAGTATAGAGCGCCCTGTATAGCCACCCTTGTGAAGCAAGCATAACGTGCCCACTTCCCTGGTATAGAGCGCCCTGTATAGCCACCCTTGTGTAGCAAGCATAACGTGCCCACTTCCCTGGTATAGAGCGCCCTGTATAGCCAACCTTGTGTAGCAAGCATAACGAGCCCACCTCCCTAGTATAGAGCGCCTTGTATAGCCACCCTTGAGTAACAAGCATAACGTGCCCACCTCCCTAGTATAGAGCGCCCTGTATAGCCACCCTTGTGTAGCAAGCATAACGTGCCCGCCTCCCTAGTATAGAGCGCCCTGTATAGCCACCCTTGTGTAGCAAGCATAACGTGCCCACTTCCCTGGTATAGAGCGCCCTGTATAGCCAACCTTGTGTAGCAAGCATAACGAGCCCACCTCCCTAGTATAGAGCGCCTTGTATAGCCACCCTTGAGTAACAAGCATAACGTGCCCACCTCCCTAGTATAGAGCGCCCTGTATAGCCACCCTTGTGTAGCAAGCATAACGTGCCCGCCTCCCTAGTATAGAGCGCCCTGTATAGCCACCCTTGTGTAGCAAGCATAACGTGCCCACTTCCCTGGTATAAAGCGCCCTGTATAGCCACCCTTGTGTAGCAAGCATAACGTGCCCACCTCCCTAGTATAGAGCGCCTTGTATAGCCACCCTTGTGTAACAAGCATAACGTGCCCACCTCCCTAGTATAGAGCGCCCTGTATAGCCACCCTTGTGTAACAAGCATAACGTGCCCGCCTCCCTAGTATAGAGCGCCCTGTATAGCCACCCTTGTGTAGCAAGCATAACGTGCCCACTTCCCTGGTATAGAGCGCCCTGTATAGCCAACCTTGTGTAGCAAGCATAACGAGCCCACCTCCCTAGTATAGAGCGCCTTGTATAGCCACCCTTGAGTAACAAGCATAACGTGCCCACCTCCCTAGTATAGAGCGCCCTGTATAGCCACCCTTGTGTAGCAAGCATAACGTGCCCACCTCCCTAGTATAGAGCGCCCTGTATAGCCACCCTTGTGTAGCAAGCATAACGTGCCCACTTCCCTGGTATAAAGCGCCCTGTATAGCCACCCTTGTGTAGCAAGCATAACGTGCCCACCTCCCTAGTATAGAGCGCCCTGTATAGCCACCCTTGAGTAACAAGCATAACGTGCCCACCTCCCTAGTATAGAGCGCCCTGTATAGCCACCCTTGTGTAGCAAGCATAACGTGCCCGCCTCCCTAGTATAGAGCGCCCTGTATAGCCACCCTTGTGTAGCAAGAATAATGTGCCCACCTCCCTAGTATAGAGCGCCCTGTATAGCCACCCTTGAGTAACAAGCAAAACGTGCCCTCCTCCCTAGTATAGAGCGCCCTGTATAGCCACCCTTGTGTAGCAAGCATAACGTGCCCACCTCCCTAGTATAGCGCGCCCTGTATAGCCACCCTTGTGTAGCAAGCATAACGAGCCCACCTCCCTAGTATAGAGCGCCCTGTATAGCCAACCTTGTGAAGCAAGCATAACGTGCCAACTTCCCTGGTATAGAGCGCCCTGTATAGCCACCCTTGTGTAGCAAGCATAACGTGCCCACCTCCCTAGTATAGAGCGCCCTGTATAGCCACCCTTGTGAAGCAAGCATAACGTGCCCACTTCCCTGGTATAGAGCGCCCTGTATAGCCACCCTTGTGTAGCAAGCATAACGTGCCCACCTCCCTAGTATAGAGCGCCCTGTATAGCCACCCTTGTGTAGCAAGCATAACGTGCCCGCCTCCCTAGTATAGAGCGCCCTGTATAGCCACCCTTGTGTAGCAGGCATAACGAGCCCACCATAGCCTCCCTAGAATAGCGCGCCCGGCATAGTCACCCTTGTGTAGCAAGCATAACGAGCCCACTTCCCTAGTATAGAGCGCCCGGTCCAGCCACCCTTGTGTAGCAAGCATAACGTGCCCACCTCCCTAGTACAGAGAGCCTGGTATAGCCAACCTTGTGTAGCAAACGTAACGAGCCCACCTCCCTAGTATAGAGCGCCGGGTAAAGCCAACCTTGTGTGCCTCGCATGACGTGCACGACAATGCCTCGCTAGTATAGCGTGCTTGGTATAGCGTGTAGCGTACCTCGCATAACGTACCCACCAGAGCCTCCCTAGTGTAGAGCGCCAGGTATAGCCACCCTTGTGTAGCAAGCTTAAAGTGCCCACCTCCCTAGTATAGAGCGCCCTGTATAGCCACCCTTGTGTAGCAAGCTTAAAGTTCCCACCTCCCTAGTATAGAGCGCCCGGTATAGCCACCCTTGTGTAGCAAGCTTAAAGTGCCCACCTCCCTAGTATAGAGCGCCCGGTATAGCCACCCTTGTGTAGCAAGCTTAAAGTGCCCACCTCCCTAGTATAGAACGCCCGGTATAGCCACCCTTGTGTAGCAAGCTTAAAGTGCCCACCTCCCTAGTATAGAGTGCCCGGTATAGCCACCCTTGTGTAGCGTACCTCGCATAACGTGACAACCATCCTGGTACAGCTTCCCGTGGACGGTAAAGTGTGACACAAACTCGTTGCTTTGTTTATAATACAATGTATGTTGCAGATTATGCTTCACGCTCTGGTATTTGTTCGATTTTATAATATCCCTGTAGGAAGCGGAACCAACCTCAGTCTTATCTCTTCAGCTAAAAAGAAGCTTACTGGGGCAGAACCCTCGCCAATGTTATTCTCATATTATTACAATGGTTACCTCCAAGTCTCGTGAGGGTACTATTGTACACGCTTCAATAAAATTTGGGCTTCTTTGTTTGCATCAATACAATGACCACGGAGAATTGATGTGATGAGTGGGCTGAACATAGATAAAACCGACAGCTTCGTCTGAAAACAAACATGTTTAAAAGAATGCTGTAGGGTGGATCTTTGTTATGAGAAAACCAATAGCAATGTGCATTGCTATATAACACAAGTCGTTATGTCTTACTGATCCACTGCTGTAGATATGTTCTGGAAGCGTATTTGACTATTGCGTGATAGTAAATATCCTAATAAACGGTGGATAGCATTAAAAGGGAAATTTAGATCTGTTCGGTGGATTCATACATACTGTTCAAAACACACTGTTCTTCATACCGAGTTTAGCTGTGTTCACTGTCGTGAATAGGACGATCCAGAACAAACCATCCGCTCCGCGATATCCGAGAGTAAAGTAAATATTTTATCAATCAAGGGACGCCTTCCGGGAGTAGATGGTGTTTAAACCGACGGACATAACCGAGGAGTAGATTGTGTTTCAAACCAACGGACATCACCAAAGAGTAGATCGTGTTTCAGCCAACGGACATCTCAGAAGAATATATCGTGTTTCAACCAACGGACATCACCGAAGAGTAGATCGTGTTTCAACCAACGGACATCTCCGAAGAGTATATCGTGTTTTAACCAACGGACATCTCCGAAGAGTATATCGTGTTTCAACCAACTGACATCACCGAAGGGTAGATCGTTTTACAACCAACGGACATCACGGAAGATTAGATCGTTTTACAACCAACGGACATCACGGAAGAGTAGATCGTGTTTTCAATAACGGACATCACCGAAGAGTAGATCGTTTTTTAACCAACGGACATCACCGAAGAGTAGATCGTGTTTCAATTAACGGACATCACCGAAGAGTAGATCGTGTTTCAATTAACGGACATCACCGAAGAGTAGATCGTGTTTCAATTAACGGACATCACCGAAGAGTGATCGTGTTTCAATTAACGGACATCACCGAAGAGTAGATCGTGTTTTCAATAACGGACATCACCGAAGAGTAGATCGTGTTTTAACCAACGGACATCACCGAAGAGTAGATCGTGTTTAAACCAACGGACATCACGGAAGAGTAGATCGTGTTTAACCAACGGACGTCACCGAAGAGTATATCGTGCTTAAACCAACGGACATCACGGAAGAGTATATCGTGCTTAAACCAACGGACATCACCGAAGAGTATATCGTGCTTAAACCAACGGACATCACCGAAGAGTAGATCGTGTTGCAGCCAACATACACCCTTAAGAGTTGATAGTGTATATATCAACAGACGTAGCATCATTTACAGTTTTTATTCCCAACTTGTCGGATCAAATAGTCTAGATAAAAAAAACGCACTGATCAAGTATTCCTTGTATCTTGGGCGATGAGGTGAGAACAATTTATACCAGTACAGTGGTTTCGTCTTAACAACGCAACTTTTCCCACCCCGATGTCTAGAACATACCTTTGACGTCAGAGCCTCAAGATCAACCTCTGCAAAATCAAGTCGAGAGTACCTTACATTATCAGAACATCTTCGCAATTTCTGGACGCCATTGGTTTGTCTAGCAGCCCCGTCAGACTAAGATGGGGGCCGGCATGGTTATCGTAACATTAGCAAGACTCATCTTCACCAACAAAGCACTCAGTGGCTGTACTGTACTTCCAGATATGACCTTGCTGGACTGTGTCAATGAATGTCGACTTGAGAAAACCTGCTTGGCAATTCTTCATTCCAGAAGTTTACAGGCTTGCTGCCTACGACAGCATCGATACACTACCCTGGACCACTTCTCCGACTTCCATACATCCTACTACTATTGGCTGTATCCCGGTAAGTGGAATGACTGTACATGATTTTAATCTGAGGAAATGGTAACTTCATCATGTAGAATCGGGGGCACGCGTGGCCTAGTCGTCTAAGGCGCCGCAATTCGCTGTGCAGAGTTGCGTCCCTTGGGCACGCCAGAAAGCTATGGTTGTGGGTTCGAATCCCGGTTCGCCCCGATTATGTTTCAAGGTGTGTCAGCACCATACCCGTGCTCGTGGGTTTCACCGAAGTAGTAAACGTCTAAGACCTGTGTCACTTCGGGCTTTCCTCCCATATTAAGCTGACACGCCGTGATATGACTGGAATACTGTTAAAAGCGGCGTTAAAACACAACTCACTCACTCAGCAGGTTTGTGCTCGTGGGTTTCACCGAAGTGGTAAACGTCTGAGACCTGCATCACTTCGGGCTTTCCTCCCACATTAAGCTGACACGCCGCGATATAACTGGAATACCGTTAAAAGCGGCGTTAAACCAAACTCACTCGCTCATGTCACAGGGTATTCATGTTATGGTAACAATAATTTATAAAGGAAGCAAATCGTCGAACAAAAATAATGATAATAAATTGCGTAGATAAATCTTAGTTTCCACATTCGATTAGAGTAATGGCATGTTTTCTCACTAAAGAGAATATCTATCTGGTAAATATCTATCTCTATTGAAGTTAGTGTAGTGAGGGAAAAGCAATAGGACATGGTATTCGTCCGACATTTTTTATTTATTTATTTATCAACTCCTATCTTTATTATCTTCAGTAAATATTATTCAGGGATTGGCTTTTCAACAATCTGAAAGATATCTTGAACATTTTTTTCTGGGACTGAACATAATTCCTGCTAAAACTCAGATTGCTATTTTTCGAAATTGACTTGTCCCCAACTTGTGGACTTGACAAGACATACCCGAATGCATGAGTAAACTGCAAATCTTTGACGTTGCATGGTATTTCTTCTTTTGCTGACTAAATAATACAAGCATAAAATACTTGTATTCCCCGCCAACGGTTTGATCTATTGAGTGACGACCCAAACCATTGTCCCTGCCTAGGACTTGTTACCAAGCGTCAATGACACTGATGTCTACGCTGCTAGCTGACTGTTACGACTCAAACCATTGTCCCTGCCTAGGACTTGTTACCAAGCGTCGATGACACTGATGACTACGCTGCTAGCTGACTGTTACAGCTCAAACCATTGTCCCTGCCTAGGACTTGTTACCAAGCGTCGATGACACTGATGTCTACGCTGCTAGCTGACTGTTACGACTCAAACCATTGTCCCTGCCTAGGACTTGTTACCAAGCGTCGATGACACTGATGACTACGCTGCTAGCTGACTGTTACGACTCAAACCATTGTCCCTGCCTAGGACTTGTTACCAAGCGTCGATGACACTGATCACTACGCGTCTAGCTGGCTGTTACGACTCAAACCAGTATCCCTGCCTAGGACGTGTTACCTCGCGTCGATGACACTAATGACTACGCGGCTAGCTGACTGTTACGACTCAAACCATTATCTCTGCCTAGGACTTGTTACCTCGCGTCGATGACACTGATCACTACGCGTCTAGCTGACTGTTACGACTCAAACCATTATCCCTGCCTAGGACTTGTTACCAAGCGGCGATGACACTGATGACTACGCTGCTACATGTAGCTGACTGTTACCTTTAGCCATCTCAGTCGGTTGGCATTACAGTGAGATCACCGGGAGTAGTGGTTATCATTGAGTACACAAGGTTTATTTCATTTGTTTTGATGTAATTAGTAAAAACTATAAAAGACGCACACTAAAAAAACCCCAAATCTTTCAATGAATAAATGGATAAATGAATAAATGAATAACTAAGCCGTTGACGACTTGACCAATCAAAATGAATCATTCTTCAGTGTAATGGTAGACTATTGTACCACCCCCTGGTTACGTTCTATCGGGTTGTACTGGATTGTCTGTTCCATCGATCACTTGAATGTGATCACACCTGGTGTCATCACTGATTTTCAGTGATCCATTCATATAAAGTTTACCACTAATTTGCCTTTCACGCCCAATGGAATCTGTTTCGTCGGATAATCGAGGGTAGTTATTCTCCGGCGTTGACGTGTTATGATGCGTTAATGAAGCCGAAATGCACAGGAATTTAATCCGCAATAAAACTGTTTTACAAACTGGCATCTGGTAAAAGCTTCTATTTTGACCTTTATGGTAATTCTCCTAATGGAATTTCTTCTTGCTGATGGAGAACTATTGATCACTTATCCAGATAATTATGCCCTACCAGGTTTATTAATGTATATATTATCCCATCTGATGACGTGTAGTATTGTCCTGAAATGCTTATCTTGCAGCAGATTACGCGCCTAGCAGCAGCGGGAAATAAAAGCCACAAAACTGTTTCCACACACATAAAAAAACGTTGCCAAGAGCAGTATAATGAAAAGGTTGTTATCCATTAAATAACACCTTTTTGTCGTACCGTCAACTTCTAAGATATACTTTTCAAACAAGTCAGCATCAACACAGTGAAAAACGAGTACTAAGAGGAAAAACTCACCACCCTCTAAAAATATTACCTTCTAATTTACAACGTCATCAAGTTGCTAGCGTAAGTTCGAATCTCTAGAGTGAGTGGGTTTGATTTTACGCCGCTTTTAGCAATATTCAAGCTATATCACAGACACGGCGGGGGACACCAGAAATGGGCTTCACACATTGTACCCATGTCGGGAATCGAACCCGGGTTTTCGGCGTGACGAGCAAACTCTTAGGCCACTTGGCTACCCGACCGCCCCGAATCTCTAGAAATGACGTCATGATAGAACAATGTTTTGTCGTGAAATAAACCACGCCTTGTTCTTTATTGCTCCGAGCGATTTATCGCGTTGCTATCTTATATTTATTATAATCGATGGTTACTATCTGTATGCACTGTTCACGAACATACTTAATGTTTGTAAAGCTTAACGTTCATGTTCACAAACTTTATCACAAGATAACCAAAAAATATATTATCACGAAATAAGCGCATGCTCGCGAGAGTTCAATACAGCCACTGAGTTATGATATAGAGAAACAACGAATATCGATCACAACCATTTATTCAATGAATACAAAGTCTCAAATCCAATCGAATAACATCTTATTCCGGACTTCTTCTTTTTTAAATTTCAAATTCTTCCTATCTTTAAAAGACTGATCTATACACATTGTATAGCCCACCAAGAGCATTGTTTTATAACCGTCTGTTTTTATCCGGCTCTGCAGAAACCCCTCGGCAGCTATATGTAACGCGAGTAAACCTACGATCATTATGATCAATACTACAATGAAAGTCCTGGTATATGTACATCTCACAGTGCACATATAGCAGGGTACATCTGATAGACTACATCTAAAAGAAAACATCTGATAAAGAACATATGGTAGCGTACATCTGATAGACTACATCTAAAAGAATACATATAATAAAGAACATCTGGTAGCGTACATCTGATAGAGTACATCTGGTAGCGTACATCTGATAGACTACATCTAAAAGAATACATATAATAAAGAACATCTGGTAGCGTACATCTGATAGAGTACATCTGGTAGCGTACATCTGATAGAGTACATCTGGTAGCGTACATCTGATAGAGTACATCTAAAAGAAAACGCCTGATAGAGTACATCTGGTAGCGTACATCTGATAGAGTACATCTAAAAGAATACATCTGATAAAGAACATCTGGTAGCGTACATCTGATAGAGTACATCTGGTAGCGTACATCTGATAGACTACATCTAAAAGAAAACGCCTGATAGAGTACATCTGGTAGCGTACATCTGATAGAGTACATCTGGTAGCGTACATCTGATAGACTACATCTAAAAGAAAACGCCTGATAAAGAACATCTGGTAGCGTACATCTGATAGAGTACATCTAAAAGAATACATCTGATAAAGAACATATGGTAGCGTACATCTGATAGAGTACATCTAAAAGAATACATATAATAAAGAACATCTGGTAGCGTACATCTGATAGAGTACATCTAAAAGAATACATCTGATAAAGAACATCTGGTAGCGTACATCTGATAGAGTACATCTGGTAGCGTACATCTGATAGACTACATCTAAAAGAAAACGCCTGATAGAGTACATCTGGTAGCGTACATCTGATAGAGTACATCTGGTAGCGTACATCTGATAGACTACATCTAAAAGAAAACGCCTGATAAAGAACATCTGGTAGCGTACATCTGATAGAGTACATCTAAAAGAATACATCTGATAAAGAACATATGGTAGCGTACATCTGATAGAGTACATCTAAAAGAATACATATAATAAAGAACATCTGGTAGCGTACATCTGATAGAGTACATCTGGTAGCGTACATCTGATAGACTACATCTAAAAGAAAACGCCTGATAGAGTACATCTGGTAGCGTACATCTGATAGAGTACATCTAAAAGAATACATCTGATAAAGAACATCTGGTAGCGTACATCTGATAGAGTACATCTAAAAGAAAACGCCTGATAAAGAACATCTGGTAGCGTACATCTGATAGAGTACATCTAAAAGAAAACGCCTGATAAAGAACATCTGGTAGCGTACATCTGATAGAGTACATCTAAAAGAATACATCTGACAAAGAACATATGGTAGCGTACATCTGATAGAGTACATCTAAAAGAAAACATCTGATAAAGAACATCTGGTAGCGTACATTTAATTGGGTACATCTAAAAGAAAACATCTGATAAAGAACATCTGGTAGCGTACATCTGATAGAGTACATCTAAAAGAATACATCTGATAAAGAACATCTGGTAGCGTACATCTGATAGAGTACATCTAAAAGAATACATCTGATAAAGAACATATGGTAGCGTACATCTGAAAGGATACAACTGACAGGGTCACCTGGTACAGTACACCTGCTTCAGTACATCAAGTAGAGTACATTTGATTGGGTGCATCTGGTAGGGTACAACTGGCAGGGTACATCTGCTACAGTAGTCTGGTTTGGTACATTTGATAGGATACAACAGGTATGGTACATTTGATAGGGTACAATTGATACGGTGCACCTGGTATGGTACATCTGGTAGGGTACATCTTATATGGTATAACTGCTTCAGTACATCGCGTTTGGTACATTGATAGGGTACATTTGATACGATAACCTGGTATGGTACATTTGATAGGGTACAACTGATAGGGTACATCTGGAATGGTACATCGAATAGAATACATCTGATAGTGTACCTTCAGTAGGGTACATCTTGTAAGGTACATCTGATAGTGTACCTTCAGTAGGGTACATCTTGTAAGGTACATCTGATAGTGTACCTTCAGTAGGGTACATCTTGTAAGGTACATCTGATAGTGTACCTTCAGTAGGGTACATCTTGTAAGGTACATCTCATAGTATACCTCCAGCAGGGTACAATTTGTAAGGTACATCTGACAGTGTGCCTCCAGTAGGGTACATCCTGAAAGGTACATCTGATAGTGTACCTCCAGTAGGGTACAATTTGTAAGGTATATCTGACAGTGTGCCTCCAGTAGGGTACAATTTGTAAGGTACATCTGACAGTGTGCCTCCAGTAGGGTACATCCTGAAAGGTACATCTGATAGTGTACCTCCAGTAGGGTACAATTTGTAAGGTACATCTGACAGTGTGCCTCCAGTAGGGTACATCTTGTAAGGTACACCTGATAGTGTACCTCCAGTATGGTACATCTTGTAAGGTACGTCTGGTAGCGTACCTCAAGTAGGGTACATCTTGTAAGGTACATCTGATAGTGTGCCTCCCTTGAATAGGGAATTATCCGGTAGGGAAATGTCCTACTTTGAGTGGGGAATTACCCGGTGGGGAAATGTCCTACTTTGAGTGCGGAATTATCCGGTTGGGAAATGTCCTACTTTGAGTGGGGAATTATCCTGTAGGGAAACGTCCTACTTTGAATAGGGAATTGTCCTGTAGGGAAACGTCCTACTTTGAATAGGGAATTGTCCTGTAGGGAAACGTCCTACTTTGAATAGGGAATTGTCCGACGGGGAAATATCCTACTTTCATGGTGAATTATCCGGTAGGGAAATTCCCTTTGAGGCATTGTCGAAGTGGGGAAATGTCTGGACCCCAAAATTACGGATCACCATCAATCATAACGAATATCCTTGATGTGGATCTTGGTCGGACTGGAATGTATTTAGTTTAACGCTGCTTTGAACATTAATTCAGATAGACTGACATTTCTTTTTATTGAAGAGTACAAATAAGAGTAATTTTTTATGGCATGTCATAATTAACCAAAAGCAGATACCAGAAATATAAAAACGCAGTGCCCTTCTAGGTAAATGCTCGTAAAAGGCGACTAACGGGATCGGGTGGTCAGGCTCGCTGACTTGGTTGATTCATGTCATCGTATTCCAGTTGCGTGGATCGATGCTCATGATGTCAATCACTGGATTGTCTGGTCCAGATTCGATTATTTATAGACCCCCGTGATATAGCTGGAATGTTGCTGAGTGCGGCGTTAAACAACAAACAAACAAGCATAACAGTGTTTACACGGATACTGCTATTGACCATGGTGATGAAGATACCAAGTACCACTGTTTCGGATCACAACAAAGTGATGCTTCAGTTTGTGAATAAAAGTAAACATTACGTCGTGGGATCTCATGCTTCAGTATTGATTACATACCCACCAAAGTGTAAAACATTTTCTGGTATTGACATTTGTTTTCGTTGTAAAAGAAAAGTAAATAGCTAAATAAAAGGGAAGGTGTCTTCTTTTACTTAGAATTCAGAGTACACTTTGCCTCCTTTTCGTTTAGAAAGAAATGTTTTGAAAGCTGTAAGTGGCGATCTTCACTGGCACCGCCAACGTTGTCTATGACGTCATATAGCTTATTGATTAACGGATACACTTATCTCTTAATGCAGTTGAGGTTTGTAATGTTTATATTAGCAATCAGATCTGAGTGGGCAAATGTACGACTGTATACTTCTCAAAGTTTGCTAAGGATCAAGTTTTGACCGCATCTACATCGAAAATATGTGGAGCGAGCTGCAGATTGCCCTCTCATTACTCCCTGTCCTTCCGGCAACTCTACAGGAACTCGGCAATGCTCTTACTGAAGGGTGGAACAGTCTTCCCTTGGCGATCACCAAGACGCTTATTGGGAGCATGAGACGGCGATGCCAGGTTGTGTATTTCATCATATGGATCACATACGCGCTACTGAGAATTGTTGGGTTTTTTTACAAAGAATTTGTTTTTGTGATATTTTGACGTTTCAGATTTTGTCAGCTACTGTAATTTTGAAGGGGAGATCTGAATAGTTAACGGTCACATGTTGTTTGCTGGCATTGCCTGGCACAGGAAAACGGACTTTGGCTCATTAAACATGTCTTCACACAATACTGCCTTCGGTTATTTCAACAGATGCACACAATTTGACGAAGTACCTTTTTTGTGGTGATCCTTAGCAATTTTTTGTAGTATGTATTCAAATGTAGCTCATGTACGAAAATAATACTTAGCGCTTGTATGTAGGTATATTGTAACACAGTTGCAGATGATTGCCACCCCAACACTCGCTACACCCTGTCCCACCAGGCTGACCTCTGTTACCAGTGCACACTGTGTTATTATGTTGCAGACTATTGCCACCCCGACACTGGCTACACCCTGTCCCGTCAGACTGACCTATGTTACCAGTGTACACTGTGTTATTATGTTGCAGACTATTGCCACCCCGACACTGGCTACACCCTGTCCCGTCAGACTGACCTATGTTACCAGTGTACACTGTGTTATTATGTTGCAGACTATTGCCACCCCGACACTGGCTACACCCTGTCCCGTCAAGCTGACCTCTGCTTCCGGGTGTACACTGGACAGAAGACTTGGGACTCGGCCAATCAAGCATGTGAGATGGATGGGGGCTCTCTGATAAAACTCAACACACCCAGGAAAATACATTACATCAAAAGCGTGATAACATCAAACCAGGGTACGAATTTCATCTGTAAAAGAGTTTTAATATGTTTTAAGGGGCACGGGTTGTACAGTAGTTTATGGGGCCCTTATTTTTAGTAGTTGTCAATTTTAAGGACGTATTCACACAGCTATCACGTATGTGTTTAAAACAATCCATACACCAAAGCACGTTTTTTCCTAAAAGTAAGAGAACCCACACACAGTGTTTATAACTCTTTTTCAATAAATGGATTTCCGTTCACAATTATCAAACTGTTTCAGACTATGAGTCAATGGAGTTTGCTATTGGAGGAAAGTTGAGCGCAGGTCTGTGGGCGTGGTCAGATGAGTCACAGATTGACATCAACGACTGGGACGAAAATCATCCAACCGCCGACTCGAGCCAGTCTCGTGTTGTCATGGAGATGACCTCAGGTCACAGGTGGAGGAATGTTGACCCTGCAGGTGAAAGGGCTTACATCTGTGAGCTGCCCTTCATCTCCCTCGACCCCTATGTGTAGCGATGCAAAGTGTGGGATTGTACTTGAACACATAGGAATCAGTGGACATTCCATCATTTTGATGACAATATATACATAGACAGTACAATAAAACTACAAAACCCTTTCCATATCCAATATAAATCTCTGCATAAAGCAGAGTCGATTGTACGATTCCGACTATATCATGAGCATGTGTTTATGAATCACTATCCAATAGTAATGATACCAGGTGTTTGCAAAAAGGTGAGCGTATCCTGCACCACCGGTGGCACCCTCCACAAACACATGCAAAAGCAAGTCAATTGTTCACCTGAAAAAAAAATTGGAACCTATGGTACAAAGAATTGCATCGGACATTATTTTTGTCACTAAAGCGTCAAATTTGGAAATGTCCTCCACATGTCTACCATAAAACTATTTGAAAGCTTTAATGAGGCCTTTTATGTTGTAACCTTGATCAAACAACTTCTGAGCAATAGTTGTATGACGCTCTCTGAAATCTTGGGAGACAGAACACGCTTGACTGTATCTCAAAAGTTGTGAAACGTTAACACCAAAGGCTGGAGCTGCTGGAATATTGCTCAACATGAAGCCTTAAAGGTAAAGTTGACTATTGGAAAGTTTACGTCATCACTCTTGTCATACAGTCTTGTGGAGAGTGTTTTGTCACTCTTTATGCATATATCTAAATATGAAACAGTTGAGGCGGTCTCACTGGTCTTCTTTATATCTAGTTCAGGTGGTTAAATCAGTGGAAGGGATAATTGGCTATTTAACGATATCAGACCATCGATATACCCGAAGCTTAAGTTAAACTTTTTGGCCGAATTACCTTGTTTTGACTTTGTCAATCCGAAAACAAGAAACGAAACCCAATCTGTAGGCACTCCAAGATCCTGATGACAATTTATTCAGAGACGTACACTTTAGCTATTGATTTATTTATATTGTGCCTAAATTTCACAACTTTTCAGGTACATTGGAGTATACATTTCCAAACGAATCACTGACAAAAAACGATGTCCGATGTAATTCCCTATTTTTACTTGTTCCATATGATGCTGTTTTCAGGTGAACAATTGACTTGCCTTTGCATGTGTTTTTGAACGTTTTCCACCGGTGGTGCAGGATATACTTCTCTTTCCGCGAACATAAACACATGCTCATAATATAGTCGGAATCGTACAATGGACTTATGAATATGGAAAGGGCTTAATTTGTCTCTTTGAATTATTTATTCATGACATATAGATCAGTAGAAAGCCCATGAAGCCCACACTACATTTAATATTACAATACTGTGTATTTTGCAGAAACATCATCATGACAGATGGTGTTTATACAGTTAATCTAGATGTATACACCTTTTGTAGGAACATAGCTAGTCTAAGCAAAATACTCGTATTCGATGGGCACATCAATTTATCATTCGTATCCTGGGATAAAGAAAGTTATATTTTGCTATGTACAATCTCAACAATGTTGATATTCTTGACATAATAGAAGTACATGACGTATATCTTCTGAACCCGATTGTCAATTCAAGGCGATCTTTTTCCACTGAGCCTCGGTATGTCTGTTTCTTAAATAAAAGCGACAAAACCCTTTCCATATTCATTTGCCGAAAACGATTGTACGATTTTTAAACTATATCATGAGCATGTGTTCACCTTCTCCGAAAATTATTATTATGTACATATTAAAATTTAAAAAATGCAGCAAAGAGGGTTTGGTTGATCCTGGCACAGTCAGGCTGGTTTGGCTCATCACCAGCTCAGGGCCCTTGCCCCCTCTACACGCAGCCCAGACATCGAATGGGACTTCTTCCAGGAAGCACTGCCTAGACTCCCCTACACTGCAGCTTTCTGCATTACCCAGATCGTCAGAAGGATGTATTCCTGGCAGCAAACCCGGGTACTCTCCAAATGTTATTAAACAGATGGGAGGTACCGAACCTAAGGTCCCGAGAACAACGGGGAGTCGGACAACTTGGTACTTAGGATGCATATTTGCCATGTTTTTCCTAAATCTTGTCAATCACATTAAAGGCGAAAGGGACAGAAAATTCAATAACATAAATATTTAATTGGATTTATGAAAAAGGATAAGATCAGGTTTGTAAGTCTTGATGGGTCTGGGGCTTTTCACGGACCTATTCCAAAGAATTTTGAATTTATCATTTTCCATGACGCCCTCTACATGTTTTGAGTCTAAAGCCCCCATCTCACATACACGATTTAAGACATTGCGAACACGATTTATGAAAAGTTGAAAAATCGTGTTGATTCGTGCTCGACCTTGTGGTTTATGCAAATTTCTTAACCAAATACGACCCTCATACGACCAAAAACGAGCCTCCTACGATCCTCATACGACCTTCATACGACTGAACACGACACTCATACGACCGTCATAAGATATTCATACGATACAACACGATTTAACCTCATTTAACACGACCCCAATACGACTGTCATACGACCAAACACGACTGTCATACGACGCCCATACGACTTAACACGAATCAACACGACCGCCATACGATTAAACCCGAATCATTACGATGTCCATACGACTACAAAAATAAACACGATCTCCATACGACTGAGCAAGACCTTCATACGACATATTTTTGTTATTTTGGTCACGTGGGTCATGTAGTGCATAAGCTGCATTGCAACAGCATTTCTGTGCCAGTCTCAACCATGTTCAACAACGAACAAGACCCGCAAGAAGCAGCTTTGGAGGAGGAGAAGGTACTTCTGGTAGCTATGGCTTTGATGGTGAGGGGTAGGAGGCAGCGTAGGCGTTGCAGAGTGAGGAACAGAAAGAGGTGCTGGGTTCGACCATGGTTGTTTAGGAGACGTCTGTATGGGCAGTATGAACACCTAATGCAAGAACTGTATATTGGTGGTGGTTCAGACATTTCAGCTGGCTCATCTTGTCCCTGGGTACCGGGTGGATGTTCATCCATGGTTGGTGGTGAAGGATGTTTCCCTTTCGATGGTTTTGCTTGGAGGAACTTCCGTTTCGGCCGCTTGAGGTTTGGCATGACTGTAGAATGAGCTTTTACTTTCAGGGGGTTTCCCACGTTCTCACTCAGTCACGTGATGGGCTCTTCCGGTCGTATGACAAACGTATGGATTTCGTTTTCAGGCGTATGGCAGGCGTATGAACGGCGTATGAAAGTCGCGTTGAATCGTGTTAAAACGTATGAAGGTCGTATGAGTTTCTTCCCACGATCCCCAACACGACTGAACGCGACTGAACACGATCTTCATACGACTGAACACGATCTTCATACGATTGAACACGACTGTCATACGACCTTCATACAACTGAACACGACTTTTCAGCTCGGCACGATTTAAGCCGAGCTGCGACGTCCATACGACCGCGCGCGACCGACCACGAATGAACACGAATGAACACGAATGAGTGCACGACCTTCATAAAAACTGTACGTTCTAACACGATATAAGGAAAAACGTTAAATCGTGTTCATTCGTGTTAAGATTCGTGAATGTGAGATAGGGGCTTAAGAGTCAAAACCATCTAATGGCATTGAATATAGAGAAACTACTGTGAATAGCAAGTTAAACAAAATTAATGAATGGGCTCAAGATTGGCTAATTCTATATAATCCCAGCAAAACAAAATCAATTCTTGTTTCCACAAAAGAGCCGCATCGAATTCTGAAAATAGTTTTGGATAATGGAAACATTAATGTTAAAACACACAAACATCTGGGTGTTATATTGTCGTCATCGGGCAAGTGGTCATGTTATATTGATTCAATTGTTAAAACTACAACAAAGATGACTCATTCAATGAGAAAGCTTAAGTGAATGCTCAGTCGTAGCATGTTGAACAAGATTTATGTATTGTTTAGTAGACCACATCTTGAATATGCATGTGAAGTTGAGGACGGCTGTACCAAAGAGCAGAGTGACAGATTTGAAAAACTCCAACTGGAAGCAGCAAGAATCGAAACTGGTTTACCCAAAAAATAAATATTTGGAAACTTCCTGAGAGTTATTATCAGAGCGTAGGAGAAAACGTAAGCCGTGTATTTCATAAGATATATAACAATATGACACCGTCATACCTTCAAGATTTAGTACCTCACTCTGTCGGGACAAACGTAACATTCAACCTTAGAAATGCTCACGATATATCTATGCCTTTATAACGTACTAAGTTATCTGAATCCTCGTTTATATCATCCCCTATTAAATTGTGGAATACATTACCTATTCAGCAAAGGACCATTGAAACCTTCTCTCGATTTAAATCAAGCTTAAGAACAGATAAATCTACAGTTCCATGATATATCTCATATGGTCTCATGAAAAATAACACGATATATACAAAAGTAAGACATTGTGATAGTGAATTAAAATGACTTATTTAGAAAAAGGTTTAAACGAGGATCCAAAATGCCGACGTGCAGCCCATATGAAAATTCATATAACTTTATTCATTGAATGTCCATTTTTTAAATCAGCTAGAAACGAATTGATTCACTCACTATTGTTAATTGTGAAAGATACTTGTGATGTAAATATTGACCTGATGCCAGTTGGCAATGCAGTTTTACCTAATCATGTAAACGAAAACATGTTTAGGAATGAACATGCATTCATAAAGAAAACAAAAAGTTCGAGTGAGCAATGTTAATGTACATACGTTTCTCTATTTATTAACTGTAAATAAGCTAACATGTAAATCTATGGGAGAGGGCGTTCTAAGTTCTGATAACTTGTGCCCAATCCTTTTCATGAAAATAAAATATGTTTAAACTAAAAAAACTAAAGGAACGTGTGACTCCATCATGTTGCTTAAGATGCTTGGCATCCACTGACAACGTGTTGGGCAGTCTCATTAAATTCATTACATAATTTACATTTCATATTTACATTTTGATTCAAAATCACACATTGACGTTTTCGACTGGGCAGTGACTGCTCCAGAGCAGCAAACAGAAAGCCTTCGGTTTCACTTTTCAGGCCAGACTCCTTCATACAAGCGAAAGGCTCTGCAGGGTTGTTGATCTTCTCAACACACTGCACATAGACTTGATGCAATGGTCGTTCAGTCTTGACATGCATCACA